CTCAGTTTTACCACTTTCATACACCTGTTAGGAAGGGATCTCCTCATAAATTGGGGCATTAAAATTCACTGTACCCCTGAAGGACCCCTTCTACAAGCCTCTGACTCCCCCCTTTCACATCTATGTAATGCTGTCTGACTTGCCTGAGTTCCTGTACTCTCTTCAACCTATTTCTATTTCACTGAAGATTTCAATCAACTATTAAATAGAATTCCCTCTTGTTTATGGACTAAAAACTCCAAAGATATTAGATGCATATGGGAGGCAGACCCTTTAAGGTAAAGTAGATCATTAAAGCCGGAAGGATTTGAGGGGCTCTGCTAAATAATTCGTTTCATAAAACAAAGCCTTCTAGTCACTACCACTAGTCCATGCAATAATCCTATCTTGACCATCTAAAGAGAAAAGTGGAAAGAAAATCAGGCCAAGATCCAGCAACAAAATTGTCACATCCAGATTTCCCTTGGTGCCTAATCCTAATGCTATCCTGTCTGCTGTCCCTTCCAACATCCAATATTTCACAGTCATCTCTTTGTATTTGACTTTTTTTAATAGTCCCCTTTGTAGGTAATCTCAATACTCATCTGCCTACACCTGGGATAACCAGCAATATCTCTGGACTGTTATGTCCCAAGGATTTACCAAGGCAGATAGCTACTTCTTGTGTACCCCAAATGCCAATTTGAGGCAACTTAAAATTACCAGGAGAGCCCTGGCCAGTGTGGCTGAGTTGGTTGGGCATGGTCCCATGCACGGAAAGGTTGCCAGTTGGATTCCTAGGTTTCAGGCTCGATCCCCATTAAGGGGCATGCAGGAGGCAGCCAATCGATGTTTTGCTCCCACATGGAAGTTTCTCTCTCTCTCCCCGCCCCCTTCCTCCTTCTAAAAAAATCAATAAAAATAATTTCCAGGAGACTCCACTTTCATCACATATGTAGATGACTTCCTTCTATGTTGCGACAGTTAAGGCAATTTGGACACTGCATACCTTCTTATTGCACTAGCAGGAAAGGACCACAAGGTGGCTAGAGAGAAAATTCCATTAATGTTCTCTGAGTCGTGATAGTTCAGCCATAAATAAAAGAGAACATCCTTGCCTTATAGATGATCTTAATGGGAAAGCTTCAAGATTCTCAGCATTAACGAGCTGTAAATTTCTCATAGGTAGTCTTCATCAAGTATTCCTGGTTTACTAAGTTTTTGTCATGAATCAGTGTTGAATTTGGTCACATGCTTTTTCTGCACCTTTTGCTACAATCATGAGATATTTCTTTTTTAGGTAGTTGAAGTAATGGGTTTCACTTATTGATTTTTCAAATGTTGAAATAGCTTTCATGATTGACATAATTCCCATTTAGTCATGGTATGCAATTCTTTTTATACATTGTTAGATTTGATTTGCTAATATTTCATTGGGGATTTCTATATCTGATAACCTAATTTAAAAAATAAAATTTAGGTGACATCAGCATCATGGTTGGTTAAGAAGACCTCTCTTTGTATCTCCCTTTAAATTTTACAAGTTGAACTAAGATAATCCAACAAAGGTTTCTCTGTTCAACACATAAACATGAATAAGAGATACATGCATTGGTACATTTGAAGATAGGGATATCTGAATGAGTAGAAGAAGCAGGATGGGGGGAAGGAAGGGGATGATGTCCAGATGCATTTCGGCATCTGGAGCAGCCCAAGCTAACAAGGTAGCAATTGGAGGTGTTAGGCTGTTGCCGTAACACTCTAGCTTGGTGGAAGGTAAGAAGGGCAAAATCAGCCTCTATGCCTGAGAAGCTGGGTGCCTTTTCCCCACCTACATTGCAGCAGAAACCTATAGAAGCAGCATAGCTGCATCCAAAAGCATAACAGTACCAGCAAGCCATTAGTCACGAGGAGGCAGTGTTACAGGTTCACAATCCTGACTTTCCCCCACACCATATCCCTCTATCATGTGGTGGTGACCCAAGATCAAGGCAACCCAGACACAGCAAGGACACCCACCGCAGGGTATACAGCAATTTCAAAAACACCCCCCACCACCACCATGACCCTCGGGGGTGTAACCAGCATAAGTAAGACAAAATCCTGCACTCTAGCGCCATCTGCTGGAAAACAAAAAGAAGGCCAACTCTTATCAACCCACTGATAGGAGCAAAACTGTAAATAAAAGAGTTCAGTACCACAAATGCACAGGCAAAGACACAGGTTATCCATCAATTGCCATGGATAACCAAGGTAACATGATAACCCAGAAAGGAAAAGCCTCCAGAAACCAAACTCAGAGTCATGAAAGACTGTGATTTAAATAACAGTGAATTCAAAATTTGAGTTATAAAACCGGTGTTTTCTGATGGTCTTAGGCGACCCTGCTAGCGGTTCTCAACCTGTGGGTCGCCTAAGGCCATCGGAAAACACAGATATTTACATTATGATTCATTAACAGTAGAAAAATTATAGTTATCAAGTAGCATTGAAAATAATTTTATGGTTGGGGGTCACCACAACATGAGGCACTGTATTAAAGGGTCGTGGCATTAGGAAGGTTAAGAACCACTGCTATAGACTGTATAATTCTACTTACATGACATTCTCCACAAGACAAAACTATAAGGGAAAGAACAAATCAGGGCTGCCAGGAGTTAGGGGTAGGGAGGCTTTTACGATATAGCAGCAGGAATGAATTTGGCAGTGGTCAGAGGGTAGTGGAACTGTTCTATACCTTGTATTGTCAAAACTTATAGACCCGTACACCAGAGCGAATTTTATTCTATGCAAAAAAAATTTTAAATAAAAATGTAAAACCTATAAAATCAGCCTACATACTGTATGATTCTTTTTACATGGCATTCATACTAAAGCAAAACTATAGGGACAGAAAACAGATAAGTGGTTCCCAGAATCTGAGGGTGAGAGTGGGGGTTGACTACAAAGGGGCCTGAAAGTTTTGGGGGTGATGTAACTATTGCATATCTCAATTGAGATGCTAGTTCACTACTGCGTACATTGTGCGAACTCACAGAACTGATAAACTTCTACATGTTTTTAAATTTTATTTTCCTATTACAGTTGACATACAATAATAGATTAGTTTCAGGTGTGTAACATCATGATTAGACATTTATACAACTTATGAAGTGATCACCCTTATAAGCCTCATACTCATCTGACACCATACATAAGTTAACACGATATTCCCTGTGCTGTACTTTTCATCCCCATGACTATTCTTATGCTGGCAATTCATTGATTGAATATAAATTATATATATATATACTAGAGACCCAGTGCATGAAATTTGTGCACTTGTGGGGGGGCGTGTTCCTCAGCCAGGCCTGTGCCCTCACAGGCTGGGAGCCATCAGCAGGACATCTTTAGCACTGCTGCAGAGGCAGGTGAGGCTCCACCACCACTGCACTAGCCAGTCATGAGCCCGGCTTCTGGCTGAGCAGTGATCCCCTGTGGGAGTGCACTACCCACCAGGAGGCAGCTCCTGCATTGAGCACCTGCCCCCTGATGGTAAGTGTCATAGCGACCAGTTGTTCCACTAGTTGATTTGCATATTAGCCTTTTATTATATAAGATTCTAAAAGGGGGGGGGGGACACTCAATAAATTGTTTTTAAAAAAAACTTGATATGCTATAGAGAATCAGGAGTCGCATATTCTCAACTCAACAATGATTATAGTTCTGATTTGGGCCAATTTCTGTTCCCATGCTGTTTCTTAGTCAAGATACCGCCTATTTCTAGTACTTAGTAACCAGCATCTCCTAGGGGTACTAGAAAATATGTTAAATGCTAAATTATGAAATGCCAAATGGTTATAAAATGGCCTTAGCTGTCCTGCCACCCCAATTTTTCATTGTAACATACATCCAGCAGGAGAGTCTGATAACAAGACAGTGTGAAATAAGCTGTACCTCATCCAAGACTCAGTGAAATGACAGAAGGACCCTATTTTTAAAAATACCAAAAAAGAATATAAAGGGTTGAGATCAGAGGCTGCACACAGCAGGTGCTTAATGGATGCTAAGGAGGCAGAACAATGCAGAGAACATGGCCTGCTGCAGGTTATCACACCTGGGTTCCAATGGGCACTACCACTTAATGTCTTGGGTGTCCTGACAGCTACATGAGCTTGTTGTGTGTTTTTTTCCTACGTGGGGAGACTAATCCCTTCCTGGAAGAGCAGTATTGAGGGTTGATGGTGGTGAACAGGTTTCCAGAGTTTGGGAGTTTGTGCTCAAGCAGTACATAATTTTCTGCCCTGGCTGCTCCAGGACTCAGGAGCGGCCTGCGCTTCCCTGTTAATCAGCCTGCAGCCAAGTGCTCACCAATCCTTCCTATGGTCCCTAGGATTTGAATAGGTAAATTTGGGGTGACAGCATGAGAGGCAAGGCTAAGATATGGCTCTGGGTCCAGAGATGGTGTAGAAGTTTGAGGTGGGGAGGCAGGGCCAAGACTGAAGCAATGTAATGCCCATTCCCTTCAAGTGTCCAGTCTCAGGTAGATGGCTGGGAACTGAAGTCCTGTGCCTAACCCAACACACGGAATAAAGATGGTGTTTCTGCTGCCATCATCCACCAAGTCCCTTTACGAGGGCCCTGATATTGCTTGGGCTTCTCTGACCTTGTCTGTCCCCAAAGGAGGTGGCTTATTATATTTTAACTAGAAGCCTGATGCATGAAGATTCCTGCTAGAATGCGCCTTCCTTTCCTGGCTACCAGCACCACCTTTCCACTCTGGCCCAGCCCCAGAGCCGCCTCTTTCTGCTCCAGTCCCGCCTTCCCATGCTGCCCAGAGACCCTGAGAGACTGGGGGTGGGGAGGAACACCTGCATCATTGCCATGGTGACGCAAGTGTCCCACCTGCCCCTGGTCACTTGGAGCCTCTGTATGCAAATTAACTACCATCTTTGTTGGGTTAATTTGCATATCACTCCTAATTGGCTGGTGGGTGAAGTGGAGGTACGGTCAATTTACATGTTTGTCTATTATTAGGTAAGATGGAGTGTAATGACTTTGGAAACCAGAAAAGGAGTTGGATGGTGCACCCCCAATTGACACCTGTCTTGAGGATGCAGCCTGTGAATAAATGGTACTAGAACCCTTTTGAATGACAGAATTCAAAGGCCAGTGTTGGATGAGCCATGGTCATACAAGGGTGGGGCCCACCCAGAATGCTTCAGTCCAAGGGATTCCTCCAACTCAGTCTGCCCAGAAATGCCCTAAGGTGAGATTTGCACACCTAACTGCCTTCCCAACAGGTGCCTTGTTTTCCCTTTGTGTGAACAAGGTGGCACTTAGGCTTCAGCACCAGCCAGGATTGTGTGTTGTCCCCTTCCTCTGTCCTATGTCCAGGGCCTTCCAGACACAGAAGGCTCATTGCTGTTCACTCTATTGCCACTGCAACCCAGGTGAGGATCTGTGGATTTGGGTGGAAGATGCGTGGCCTGCAGTCCTTTGTGGGAAATGTCTTGCAGCCGAGTTCTGTTGTAGATGGTAAAGAAATCACCACCATCCAGGGACCACCAGGTCTACCAGCAGCCTACCCTCTAGTTGCATGCTGGGCTGTCCCAGAGAATTTGGTGAGGGGTTGGTTCCCCCTCCATCCTCAAGCAGCCCAACTATAGGGTGGGGATAAACTGTTAGCATCAGATGTCATGATCATTTACTTCTCTAGTCAACTATGATGGGAGCTAAATAAAAGGCATTGGATGGCCAGTTCCAGCCGCTTGGGACCCTTTTTCTTCCCTGAATGAAGGGAATAATGTGGGGGAGGTATGGTGGAGGGATTCTTTTCATGTGCATGTGCTTCAGGGAGTAGCAAACCATTTTTTTTTTCATCTGTATCCCCCATCGCACTGGAACTGGCACTTGGAGAGTGGAGGGGATGAGATCAGCTGGTCAGTCACCATCACTGTCATCAGTGCTGCCAGAGAGGTCGAGGGCAGACATCATGGAATCGGACAGCTTACTGGCGAGTTTATCTGCAGATGGAGAAATACAGGCAGTCATTCGGTGGCCTGCAGGAGCTAGCCTACATTGACCTCTGTCTGCACCAAGCTCCAAAACTGGCTCGCTTACCCCCTAACACTACACAAAACACCCAGTGGGCTGCTAGCAGCCATTGCTCAACCTCTGAGGCAGATCCATTTGTCTACGTGTGAAATGATCACTCCAACACATCTTCCATCTTAGAATGTGACTCACTGGGCTCCAAGCATTTTTATTCCTTCCCAGTACCAAAATATCCATTTCCTTTTACTGTGTTGAACCTCCTAGCACTCTGTCACCACCCTCAAAGTTCTCACAGCAAAGGGACAATAGGTACACTGAGCATGAATTCTCACCTCCCATTGTCACATCCTATTGTTCCTCTGGAAAGCCTTCTGTAACCACCCTTATCCAAGTACCACCTCCAGACTGAGTGTCTTCATAGTGATCACTCTGTGTTGCCAACATCTGTTTTCTTGTTTCCTCCTCACTCCCCAATAAGACTAGGAGTCCCAGGGCAATCCACCTCTGGATTCCCAGGCCTCAGTGTGGAACCAGGCCAAGAGTGAATGGGTAGGAACACAGTCTAGTTCAAAGAACAGAGCTTATGGGGTCAATCAATCCTAGGCTTTCATTTTGGCGCCATTAAATACTAGTTGTCTTGCCTTGAGTGTGTCACTTAAGGTCTCCGAGACTCAGTTTCCTCACTTACCAAATGTGGGTAAGACTTTTACAATGGGTCAGTGAAGGCTGGCATAGCATGAAGACAAAAATGGGCCAGCCACACAACTGTCCACCACTAAAATGAAGAATTTCTTTTGTGAGTTGACATGGAAATATCTCTAATATGTATTAAATGGAAAGTGAAGTATTTGTATAGAAAAAGAGAATAGAGAATATATAGATGTTTGCCTGTGTACCTATCTCAGGAACGAGATACAAGGAATTAACTTGGCCTGGCTGGTGTGGCTCAGGGTTTGAGTGTGGACCCATGTAACAAGAGGTCACCAGTTCAATCAGAGCACAGGCCTGGGTGATAGGCTTAATCCCCAAAAGAGGGCATGCAGGAGGCAACCAATCAATGTCTCTCTTTAATGTTTCCATATCATTGATATTTCTCTCTCTTTCTACCTGTGTTTTCCTCTCTCTAAAATCAATAAAACATTTAATAAAAAAAATTAACTGGTGGCCGCTGGGAGGAGGCCTGGCTGACTAGGGCAGAGGTCGGCAAACTGCAGCTCGAAAGCCACATTGCGGCTCTTTGGCCCCTTGAGTGTGGCTCTTCCACAAAATACCATGGCTTGGGCGAGTCTATTTTGAAGAAGTGGCACTAGAATAAGTTTTAAAAAGTTGGTTCTCAAAAGAAATTTCAATTGTTGTACTGTTGATATTTGGCTCTGTTGACTAATGAGTTTGCCGACCACTGGACTAGGGGATTGGTAAGAGAGAGACATTTTATTGTATATCTTTTTATGCCTTTCGGATTTTGAGTACAATGCCTATTGATAAAGTAATCATTATATATAGCCTATAAGCTTCCTAATACATAGAAAGCAGCTGATAAATAAATGGTGGTTATTTGATACACAAACTAGGCCAGTGTTCTCTGAGTGTGGTCCCCAGACAAGTACTAGAAGCATCTTGGAAGCAGTAAGAATCACGAATTCTCAATCCTCATGGCCAACCTATTCAATTAGTAACTCTAGAGAGAGGTTCCCTGAAATCTGTGTTTTAACAAGCCCCCTGGCAATTCTAACATGAGCTAGATTTTGAGAACCACTGTGCCTATAGGTGAGCCTCCTGACCCTTGTGTGGGGCTGGATACATGGGGGTGCTCACTTAGGAGCCCCTAGTCAAGACCCCAGGTGAGCCCTTTCTGGTCACAGGGGGCTGGTCAGGTGTCCCCACCTGAACGCTTCTGCATCTTCTTCTTATTCTTCAGAGCGCATGCCAGAGCCTGGCCCTGCTGCAGGGGGTCTGTCTCCAGGATCTTCTGTACCATCGGGCGACGGTCCACTGGGCAGATGCTCCTGGGGTATGAGTCCGCATTGCGCTTAGCCCACGCCTTCTGATGGCCATTTGAATTCATGCAATATTCAGTGAACTCTCCATTCTGGTGAGACAGAGGACAGCAGTGAGTTCTGGACCCCCAAAGTGCCTGCAAAAACCTCTGCAGAAGAGGCAGGGTAAGAACAAGTTGCCCGGAGCCACGCAGAACTAAGCTCCAAGTCTGGGTCCACCACTGACTAGCAGGTGCCTAGTTAACCTCTCAGCCACAGCCTGATCGCCTGTCAAATGGGGGTGGATAATGAGTAGCTTGCATGGCTTTCACAAGGAGAAAATGAAAAGGTAGAGGTACTTGATCAGTGACGTTTGTGTTACAATGATTCTTTGCTCGAGGGACCCTTCAAGGTCTTAGTCAATGTAACAAATATTTCCTGACACCTATTTTGTGCCCAGCTGTGTGGGGACATGCTGGAGAAATGAGCCAGATACAGCCCCATCTTTGGGAAACAATCAGACTAAAAAGGTTATAACCAACCATGCAAGACAGAGTGTGGTAAGTGCCCACCAGAGAGACACAGTGTAAATGACAGGGGTTGAGGGTATGGTGGTGGTCAACACACTTCTGATAAGAATTATTCCAGAATGAACACTGGAAAGGCACAGAGTATAACTGGGCACCCAAAAGGGTGTCTGTTGGCTTGAATTGAAGATACATGTGGGGAGGAGGCCTGGAGGGGGTCAGTGGGTGAAAAGGGGGACATGTAATAGTTTCAACAATAAAGAATCTACATTAATAAAAATAAAAAAAACACATGCAAATTGACCATCACTCCGCTACACACACCAGCCAATCAGTAGGGAATATGCAAATCAGAAGGCCAAAGATGGTAGCCCCCCAGCTGCTCCAAGCACGGAGTGGCCGGGCAGGGCAGGACACCCACTATGGTGCACAAAGGGATCTACAGGAGCGGCACTCCAGCCGCAGCGAAGATGAAGACTACAGACTCTGGAGTCTGCAACAAAGATGAAGGCTGAGCAAAGGCCTGGGTACCGGGTGCCAGAGGAAAACTGGTGCTGGAAGCCAAGGGAAGGAAGGCCTATTGCATGAATCTCTTCATGCAGCGGGCCTCTAGTTATTTCATAATAAACTAACGTAAAAGAAGATACATGTGGGTAGTAAAAGCTAATGTCAGACAGGTACCATTCTAAGTATACATATTATGTGCATGTGTACAATAGATATATGTACATGTATACATGTACACACACCTATTAACCCATTTAATCCTTACAACAATGCTAGAAAAACAAGGGCATGTATGACTACCTGCTACACTACAATAAGGAAAAGGCCAGGCTATCAAGCACACTGTGTAACTCTGGTGTCGTGGGGGTGGGGGACACCATTCACAGTACAGCACACCTAAATGGCATCCCCCAGAAGCAGGCAATAGAGTGGCCCTGAGCCTGAGCCTGGAGGTTACAGTAAAGAATGCGGACCTACCTCAGGTCCCTGAGGGAAAATGGTATGCTATGGGGCTTAGGGGCTCAGTGGGAAACATTATCAGGGGATGACCTTAAACACACAACTTGATACTAATGTTCCTGTAAGCACCAGGGGAACCTTTGAAACTAAGTGAGGACGGGATGGTGTGAAATCCTGCCACAGCCCTAGTGCAGGCCTCATTATCTCTTAAAAGTCCAGGTGAGCCGAAACCGGTTTGGCTCAGTGGTAGAGCATCGGTCTCGGACTGAAGGGTCCCAGGTTCGATTCCGGTCAGGGGCATGTACGTTGGTTGCGGGCACATCCCCAGTAGGGCATGTGCAAGAGGCAGCTGGTCGATGTTTCTCCCTCATCGACGTTTCTAGCTCTCTATCTCTCTCCCTTCCTCTCTGTAAAGAAATCAATAAAATATATATTTTTAAAAAATAAAAAATAAAAGTCCAGGTGAGCCGAAACCGGATTGGCTCAGTGGCAGAGCGTCAGTCTGCAGACTGAAGGGTTCCAGGTTCGATTCCGGTCCGCGGCATGTACGTTGGTTGCGGGCACATCCCCGGTGGTGGGGGGGTGCAAGAGGCAGCTGGTTGATGTTTCTCTCTCATCAACGTTTCTAGCTCTCTATCTCTCTCCCTTCCTCTCTGTAAAAAAAATCAATAAAATATATATATTTTTTAAAAAGAGTCCAGGTGACAGCTTCATTCCTGGACTCCCTGCCTCCACGTTGGGCCCTTGGTTTCTAATCTGATTTTTACCCCACCTGCCAGAGTAATGTTCTGATATACAAACCTGACCATGGTGTTAAGAAACCCTTCCAGATATTATGTAGCCATCAAAAATAAAGGACAGCTCTTGGCCCTGGCTGGTATGACTCAGTTGCTTGGATACAGTCCCAAACAACTAAAGGTGGCGGGTTCCATTCTGGTCAGGGCACATACCTAGGTTGAGGGCTCAATCTCCGGTTGGTTATGGTGCATATGGGAGGCAACTGATTACCGTATTTTTCGGACCATAAGACGCACCAGTTTTTAGAGAAGGGAAATGAAGAAAAAAAGATTCTGAAGCAAATAGTGTCCTAAAATATTTTATGTGCATTAAAACCCAACATCACAGTCATAAACACATGTAATCAACCCTGTAAAGTAAACAGCAGCATTTAGAACCATTTTAGAGCCGGGCAAGCACACAGAGACCACACAGAGCCAGGCAAGTAAAAAAACTTTTTTTTTTAAAGTATATGTGGAGGCTATATTTGGACCATAAGACGCAGGGACTTTTTCCCCCCACTTCTGGGGGGAAAAAAGTGCGTCTTATGGTCCGAAAAATACAGTAATGTTTCTCTGTCACATCGATGTCTCTCTCTCAACTCTCAGTCCCTCCCTCACTCTCCCTCCTCATATCCCCTTCCTCTCCCTTCCCCTTCCCATCTCTAAAAAAAAATCAACAAAAAATAACCTCGGGTGAGGATTAAAAATAAATAAATGATAGTTCTATGAAGTAATCATGTGGGACAATCTACAAGATGAATTTGTAAGTGAAATAAGCAAAGTGGAAAGCAATATGAATAGCATAATACCCTGTTTCCCCGAAAATAAGAGAGTGTCTTATATTAATTTTTCTCCCAAAGTTGCGATAGGTCTTATTTTCAGGGGATGTCTTATCTTTCCATGAGCTAGGTCTTATTTTCGGAGGATGTCTTATTTTCGGGGAAACACGGTAGCTAATCGGGTAAACATTTTGGTTTTTTTTTTGTTTTTTGTGTTTTTTGTAAAATATATTTTATTGATTTTTTTTTTTTTTTTTACAGAGAGAAAGGGAGAGGGATAGAGAGCTAGAAACGTCGATGAGAGAGAAACATGGACCAGCTGCCTCTTGCACAACCCCCACCGGGGATGTGCCCGCAACCAAGGTACATGCCCTTGACCGGAATTGAACCCGGGACCTTTCAGTCCGCAGACTGACGCTCTACCACTGAGCCAAACCGGTTTCGGCGTGGGGTAAACATTTTGGAAAGGATAAACATTCTTACCCATGTATAGGTCTAAGATTTTTTTTTTTTTTTTAAGTATAGCAGTCACGGTAGTGTGCAAGCACAGGAAAGGCGAACTTGACCTAGCTTAAAGGTTCAGGAAAGGCTTCCTGGAAGGAATAGTTAGCCTGAAATAGGTACTAGAGAGGAAGGGAAAGGGAGAAAGAGAAACAAACGTCAATGATGTGCCCTAGCTGGTTTGGTTCAGTGGATAGAGCGTCGGCCTATGGGCTGAAGGATCCCGAGTTGATTCTGATCAAAGCACATGCCTGGGTTGTGGGCTCAATCCCCAGTTGGGGGCATGCAGGAGGCAGCCGATCAATGATTCTCTTTCATTAATGGTTCTCTCTCTCCCTCTCACTTCCTCTCTGCAATCAATCTACACTAATAAAAGAGAAATATGCAAATTGACTGTACCTCCGCAACAACCACAAGCCAATCAGGAGTATGCAAATTAACCCAATAAAGATGGCAGACTAATTTGCATATGCAGGCACCTAGCAGCCAGGGGCAGGGTGGTGCCAAGCAGCCTAGGTCCCAGGGACGGGCACCAAGAAGCCTCCCGGGACCATCACTGGCCTCAGGAGGCGAGAGTGGCCCTCTCCGCAGCCTCCTGGGGCCATTGTGGGCCTGGAAGGCGAGGGTGGGCACACCAAGCCAAACCCACAGCCTCCAGGGACCATCACCAGGCCCGGGAGGCGAGGGTGGCCCCGCCCGCAGCAGCCCGCAGTCTCCCTGGGCCAGACGTCTTCAAACTACGGCCCGTGGGCCACATGCGGCCCGCAGAGGAGTCTGATCCGGCCCGCCAGGTTTTTTGGGCAGTGAGCGCAGCCGAGGTGTTACAGTAGGAATTAGTAGTTCATATAGTCCGGCCCTCCAGCTCTCTGAGGGACCGTGATCTGGCCCCCACTTTAAAAAGTTTGAGGACCCCTGCCCTGGGCCATCACTGGGCCTGGGAAGCGAGGGCGGCCGAGCCAAGCCAAACCCGCAGCAGCCTCCAGGGACCATCGTCAGTCCCGGGAGGCAAGCACAGACCGTGGCCCAGCACAGGCTTGGAGTAAAACATTGATAGCAAGTCCTTTCAGTATAATTGGGGAATTAGAGGCCCAAACAATAATCATTTCCTTTTCTATAAAACACCTAACTCTGACACACTATTTACAATTAAATAAGTTCCATATATTTTGACGTTTTACAGCCCTAGAAAATTACACATAATGATCAGCAAAGTGAGAAGATGAAAAGAATTTTCAGGCTTTTAAAGATGTAACTAATTTGTCTAGAAGACACACCAATTCAAAAAGTGATGGTTTTATTGTCCTATAGGACATTAGCCAGATTGTATCTAATTTAGCAGTTTTACTTCAGGCTTTCATCTTTGGAAATCCCATTTGGAACTGCATTATCATCCTGCCAGTCCCCTCACTGAGTTAAACAGAACTTTTGCATCTGCTACTATGTATTTGAATAAAAATTATGGATTTAACACATGCAAAATTTTGTTTTGACACAATAAAACAAAAGATCATTTGATTCTTCCCTGAAACACAGAAAAGCACAAACTTGAATCGTTGGTGTGGCTTAGGCTAATTTTCCAAACATTGTTAATAAAATTCCTGAAGGGATCCTCAGAGCCAAGAATTCTCTTTCAGGCCTACATATTCAGCATCTCCATGGAGGAGGCCTGTTATTCTGTGTTTTGTTTTGTTTTTGAATACTCACCAGAGGACATTTTTTCACTGCTTTTAGAGAGAGTGGACTGGAGGGGGAGGGAGCGGGAGAGGGAGCGGGAGCGGGAGCGGGAGAGGGAGAGGGAGAGGGAGAGGGAGAGGGAGAGGGAGAGCCTCAGGCTGATGACCGCAGGGTCCAGGTTTGATTATGGTCAACCATGTACCTAGGTTGCAGGCACCTCCCTGACTGGGGCCTAAGTCAGGGCTCATGCAGGAGGCAACCAATCAAAGTGTCCCTCTCACATCGATGTTTCTCTCTCTTTCCCTTTCTCTTCCACGCTTTCTAAAAATCAATGGAGCCGAAACCGGTTTGGCTCAGCGGTAAAGCGTCAGTCTGTGGACTGAAAGGTCCCAGGTTTGATTCCAATCAAGGGCATGTACATTGGTTGTGGGCACATCCCTAGTAGGGGGTGTGTAAGAGGCAGCTGGTCGATGTTTCTCTCATCGACATTTCTAGCTCTCTATCTCTCTCCCTTCCTCTCTGTAAGAAAAATCAATAAAATAAAATAAAATAAAATAAAATAAAAATCAATGGAAACATATCCTCAGGTGAGGATTTAAAAAAGAAATAAAGAAATGTCCTATCCTATGAAAGAGACATCTTGAAAATGCGTAAAGAAAGTTGTCATGTTTTCATGGTGAAGGGACTGGAGTCCATGTTGATGAAAACACCTTGGCGGCTGTGGCGGCTGGCAGTGGCAGCAGCAGCAGGGTGATGGGGGCAGCGCCTTCCCCTGATCAGCCATACTGCCTCCCGCAGAGGGAGGCCTACTGACATCTTAGGCCCACAGGGAGCGGGCCTAAGCCATAAGTAGGACATCCCTTAAGGGCTCCCAGACTGTGAGAAGAGGCAGGGTGGGCTGAGGGACCCCCTCTCCCCTGCACAAATTTTGTGTACCAGGCCTCTAGTAAAAATATATATATATATATTTTTTAAAGAAACATCAATGGTGAGAGAGAATCATTTATAGGCTGTGTCCTGCACATCCCATGCTGGGGATTGATTCCGCAACCCAGGCATGTGCCCTTGACCAGAATCGAACCTGGAACCCTTTAGTCCACAGGCCAACGCTCTACCCACTGAGCCAAATCAGCCAGGGCAGAAAAAAGATTTTAAATAAACAAAATGGGAGAAAACAAAACTCCTTGACCATAAAAAAATAACCAACTTTTAAGAACAACCCACATCTCCCCACCATTTTAGGCAGATGTCATGGGGGCCAGGCAAAAGGGACTGACCACTTACCAGAGCCATGGGTAGAGGAGAGGGTTGCCATAAAGAAACGGGACAGGTACCTTATACACGGTGGTTTTATTTTCCAAGGCATCTACTACATCCATCATCGGAGAATGGAGCCATTTGGTCTCCGTTTGAACCGGGTCCATGTCACCCAAGAGCTGATCAGATTCTCCATTGGCCAAGCCTTTAACACAAGCAACAGCACTGTCAGAGCCCTGGCTCCGCCCTGCTGCTCGCCTCCTGGTCAGGCCGCAGTGGGTAAGCTATGTGGACACCGCCCAGGGGAGCTGGGAGGGAGGCTCTTACATTCCTGCCGGGAGGCCCCAGGACCAAAGATGAAAGGCATGGCTTTGGCAGTAGGGCACTCGCCTGCAAACCACAACTGTGCCCACTGCCCGGGCCCACAACACCCTCACACCTGCTTCTAAACTTCCCTTCCATCCCCTCCCCTGAGCCTATGATCCCTAGTCACTCTTCAAGATCCAACACTAGGGCCAACTCTGTAGTAGAAAACTCTCACTGGGAACCTCCCCCTCTTCTCAATTTCCCAGGCCTCCCACTTTTGTCCAGTGCATTGTCAGTGACAGCAGGAGCCCCTGTTGCCTTCACGTGCAGCTAAGGGCGAAGCATCATCCTAAGAATGATAGCAGGAATTCCTCCCGACTGCCCACGTGATCCAAGAGGACAGTAACGTTCAGAAAGGGGGCTGACCTGGGAAATAAACTCTAAAGCAGGCAAGTTCTCTTATCCTCGTTTGGAATCCAAGGACACCAAAAGGCCCAGAGAAGGACTACTGGTCCTCAAGAAAAACAGAGAACTAGAAGGCAGACCAGCCAGGGCTTTTTCTACTACCCAGAGTGTCCACAGACTGATCCAGAGAGTACTGGGTACCTTTCTGGGGTAGGGTAGAGAAGGGAGGAGCCATAAGCCAGGGCTGCAGATGGTAATATCAGAAGAAAATAAACTTCCCTCCAGAGTTTTGGAAAATCATGTGTTTCCATAACAGCTCACAGTTACCAAAAAAGCACTATAGCTCAGCTGATGTGGCTCAGTGGTTGAGCATCGACATATGAACCAGGAGGTCAAAGTCTGATGCCCAGGTTGTGGGCTCCATCCCTAGTAGGGGGTGTGCAGGAGACAGCCAATCAATGATTCTCTCTCATCAATCATTGATGTTTCTCTCTCTCCCTCTCCCATCCTCTCTAAAACCAATAAAAACATATACAAAAAAGAGAAAGCACTATATACATGCCAGTCACTGTTCTCAAGTGTTTTTATGTATTAAATAACAGGTGGATGCTATAGTCCAGCTTACGAATGATGTCATCAAGACATGGAGAAGTTAAGGAACATGTGTAACATCACACAGCTTACAAGAAACAAAATTTGGATTTGAATCCAGGTGGTCCCTTCTTTTTTTTTTTTAAATATATTTTATTGATTTTTTTACCGAAAGGAGGAGAGAGGGATAGAGAGCTAGAAACATCGATGAGAGAGAACCATCGACCAGCTGCCTCTTGCACACCCCCTACTGGAGATGTGCCAGCAACCAATGTATTGTACATGCCCTTGACAGGAATTGAACCTGGGACCTTTCAGTCTGCAGACCGATGCTCTACCACTGAGCCAAACCGGTTTCAGCTGGTCCCTTCTTTTAACCACTCTGAGGTGGGCGAGTCTTCAACCACAGCAGAGGAAAACTGCTTTGAATGCCACCTCTGCCTCCCACTGACTATGCATCATTTAGCAACTATCACCGTTCTGTGACTCATGCCCCGCCCACCAATGGAGGTGAGAATGAAAAGCCAGGAGTGGACATGCAGTGGCTGAGGCGAAGGGGTTTTTGAGAGAAGTTGTCTCCGTCCACGCCAGGTCCCAAGAGACGGGGAAAGGAAGCTTCCATTTCCTGAACACCTCACGGTGTACAGTACTTGGCTGATTTACTTCCTGTCTACCAAGAGTGACAACCAGATGAGAACTCCCCACCTTGTGAGTGAAAAGCATTCATCTTGGAGCTGGTTACCTAATTTTCTCAAAGCCAGGAAGGGGGAGGTCAGACATGGAATTTGTTGTCAGGTCCCCGTGGCTCCACTAGGGCAAGACCACGTGGGGGCAGGCCAGCCCCCTCGCCCTCACTTACATTCCATGGTGTCTTCGTTGGCCTGCTCGGTGTCCTCAATGTCGAAGACTTCCGTCATCTCCTTAACGATCTCAGCACTGAGGTGGGTGGGCAGAGTGTGCGTGGCGGGTGGAAGTGTGTAGAAGCTGATCTTCCCACTACATTGGGGGGTTGGAGGAAATTGGTGGTGACGTCACTGAGAGAACAATTGGCCAATCACAGAAAGAATGAGTTCCCGAGTCAGAAACAGTGAGGGACAGTGAGCAAACCCAGCCGGTGGCCTCTGAACAAGACGTTGAGTTGCTAGACAATCACTGACCCAGGGTCCTTCAGCCCAGTCCCCTTTGTGGAGCCTCACGCCGACCCCAACCCGCTCCTCACCTCACCCAGTCAGACAGGACTGCTTTGGCTGCCTCCTCCTGATTATAGATACCTCCCTTCTTCTTTTTACCCAAGCGCTGGGCCACCGCCATCAGAAAGTGCTCAGTGGTCTGGAAGCCAGAGACGCCATAATAGCTGGAAATCTGGTGACGAGAGGAAGAGGAGAAATCAGACAAGAGAATGAAGGGTCCTTGGAATAGGGTTGGGCAGTGGTCGGCAAACTCATCAGTCCACAGAGCCAAACATCAACAGTACAACGATTGCAATTTCTTTGGAGCCCAATATTTTAAACTTCAACTTCTTCTAACGCCACTTCTTCAACATAGACTCGCCCAGGCCGTGGTCTTTTGTGGAAGAGCCACACTCAAGGGGCCAAAGAGCCGTGGTTTGCCGACTACGGGGGTAAGGCATAAGCAAGAGCCCTGCGCACCTCCTCCAGGTTGCAGCGTTGCAGGATGGTCTCCACCGGGGTCACGGGGTCCGCCAGCTTCTGCACATGGATGCAGTTGCGCAGGATGGTGCCCACCTCCGAGTTGGGGCCTGGGACAATGCCCGGGGCATCCAGCAGCCTGATGAACTTGTCCAGGTGGACCTCCTGCATGAACCTGGGCAGGAGAGGAGAGAAGATGCAGGACCCTGATGAGGCCAGATGTGTGAGGCATCCTGTAGGCTCCAGGCACACGGCTGAGAGAAAGGGTGAGGGGCAGACGGGGCACAGATGAAGCTGGAGAGATGTAGGGCCAGGGATTCTGGGTCCTACAGAGCTGAGACTGACCTAGTCTAGCCTCTGCCATTGGGGACTGAGCTGCAGGACTGTGGTCAGCTTCTGACTCTGAGCCTCTGATGCTTCATCTAGGAAGCTAAGCTGCTTATTCACAGCCCAATCCTGCAGGGCTGGTGGTAGGCTTCAAGGTGCTAACAGGGGTGAGAGGGGACACCCAGCTGGGAGTCTAGACCACACCTAGGGTGTGCCAGGCAAATGCAGGCTGTTCCTGAGACTCCCATGCCCAGGGGAGCAGAGGCTGCTCTGAGATAAGGACAGGGCCAGGGGCTGAAGGAGTGAGAGCAGAGGGAACGGTGAGCCAATGGCCGTGGGAGAGCAGACAGGTGCTTACTTGGTGATGCCAGGAACGGCTCCCACGCTGCAGGCACGGCTGCGTTTCAGACTGTTGATCAGGCTGCTCTTCCCAACATTTGGAAGGCCTACAAAAGAGCAGCAGGTGTGCCGAAACCGGTTTGGCTCAGTGGATAGAGCGTCGGCCTGCGGACTGAGAGGTCCCAGGTTCGATTCCGGTCAAGGGCATGTACATTGGTTGCGGGCACATCCCCAGTAGGGGCTGTGCAAGAGGTGGCTGGGTCAATGTTTCTCTCTCATCGATGTTTCTAGCTCTCTATCCCTCTCCCTTCCTCTCTGTAAAAAAATCAATAAAATATATTTTAAAAAATAAATAAATGAAAATAAAATGCAGCGCATGCCCTGGCTGCGTGGCTCAGTGACTGAGCATCGCAACCCATGGACCAATTCCTGGATTCAATTCCCGATCAGAGCACATACCTGCACTGCCTCTTGATCCCCAGTAGGGGGCGTACAGGAAGCAGCCAATCTATGTTCCTAGTGTGTGTTTCTATCTCTGTATCCCTCTCCACGCCTCTCTCTCTAAAATCAATAAAAACATGTTTAAAAAATAAAATGCAGCGCATGGTGCTGACTCTGAGTATGTGTTCCCACCAATCCAAGTCACAAAGCACAAAACCCTTCCCCCCAAAAAGGGGACACAGTTCCCAGCATCCTTTCCCGGCAACGAAGCCCCCCAAGAGCCTGAGCCCGGTGATGGCCCCCCGGGCCTTACCCACAACGCCCACGCGGATGTGGGTGCGCACTTCACCGAGGCGGCAGTAGTTCCCCAGGACCCTCATCAGGTTCTCGGCTCCGAAGCAGGCTTTGCTCTTCAGCAGCGCCTCGGAGGCCTGCTCCACGGGCACGCTGCAGCGGTTCTGGAAAATGAGGGATCGCACGGCACAGGCATCAGCGGGGAGGTGTGATTGGAGGCCCAAGTTTCGGCTTTCTGGGCCTGCCTGTGATCAGGGAGGTCCTCAGGCCGAAGTGGGAGCCTTCTCATACAGGCTCCTAACCCCCCCTTTGGAGACGCACGGGATTCTAGTTTTCCACTGTCTTTGAATCTGCAGTCCTCTTTGTCCCTGTCTCTGCCTACACACATCTCAGCAGGGGCAGTATGGCGTCCTAGCCCGGAGACAGGCCAGACTGGACTTTCCACGCTTCCTCTCACTGGTGTGTGCCCAGCAGATCCTGCTCCCCTTCTCAGGGACCGTGGTGCCCTCGTGTGCACAACAGGGATGCCCGCCGCCCCTGCCTGCAAAGGGGAAAGAGAATGCCTGGCCCACACACAACCCACCTTCCCTTGATTCCTCACACAGAACAAGGCCATTCTGCCTCTTTTTTAAAAAATATGATTTTATTGGTTTTTAGAACGAGAAGAAGGGAAAAGGATGGAGAGATGGAAACAAAGATGAGAGAGAAACACCACTGATCGGCTGCCTCCTACACACCCCTCACTGGGGACTGAACCTGCAACGGGGCATGTACCCTGACTGAATCGACTCTAGACCTCTTGGCTCATGGGTCAATGGTGAACCAACTGAGCCACACCGGCCGGGCCAGCCTCTATCTCTTTACTCCTGATGCCACCTACTCTACCCAGAATACCCTTCCATCTCTTCCTCTTTCCTTACTTACCCACCACACTATTGCAAAATAGAAATCAACCTAACTATCCATCAACAAGAAGCAGATTAACGAGATGTATCCTTAAAGTGAAATACAAACGAAAGAAAGCTGTTAGCAAAGGATTCTTGCCACACTTCTGCCATCAAAAAGGTCCAAAAAAAATTTTAATGAAATAATCATGCCTTCCAGATTAGCAACGATGAAAACGTTTAATGATATCAAATATTGGCAAAGGTGGAGGGAAATAGGCCGTCACACATCCATTACCCCAATGGCGGGAATATGAATGATACAACCACTTGGGGGGGGGGGTGTACAATTTGTCTGTCTAGAAAAATATAAAATGCATAAAGCCTATGACACAGCTACTCTACCTCTCAATACCTAACCTACACAAGCATGTGCAAGGGGGTGTGTTGAAGTACTGGTTATCACAATAAAAAATTGGAAACTAATTTTACTTAGCATCAGAAGCTAGATCTCAGTAAAAAGATATCTGGGGGGGAGGGGGGGGCAGCAAGCCAGAGGATAAGACAAGATACCCACAAACACAATGTTCTCTTTATATACACTTCCCTGTGAATAGATAAAGTACAGAAAAACACTGGATCCTTCCATACTTACAATGATGGTTATTTCTGGTTATATGTGGATAAAGGAGACTGGAATTAAGGGTATTAGTGAACGGGTAATTAAGTTTATATGCAATTGTTTTCATTTTTTCTACTTTATTTTTTAATAAATTTTATGCTGGTGCAAAATTGAAAAAAAATGTCCCCAGCACCAGTTTCTCTCCCTAGAAGCAACCAATGTTTCTGTATACTTTAATATTTTACGCTGAAAATGTATTTCTGTGTTAATGATCTAATTAGAGAAGTGGTTCTCAACCTTTGTAATGCCGCGTCCCTTTAATACAGTTTCTCATGTTGTGGTGACCCCCAACCGTAACATGATTTTTGTTGCTACTTCCTAACTGTAATTTTGCTACTGTTATGAATCGTCATTAACAGTAGCAAAATTACAGTAATGAAGTAGCAACGAAAATAGTTTTATGGCTGGGGGTCACCACAACATGAGGAACTGCATTAAAGGGTCGTGGCATTTGGAAGGTTGAGAACCGCTGAATTAGAAAGTAGTGTGATGTTTTAAAGAGAAAAGCAAACAAAGGCATGTGTTTTAAAATGGAACAATTCTCTAACTATGTTTTCCAATATGTATTACCCTTACATCTGGAAAAATTGTTCCTAAAGAACAATAATATAGGAAAAAATGAAATGAATATTAGGTCATCCCGTAAAGCAAAAAGCTCCAAGCTGGAGGCCTAGTTCAATGACCAAAGGGCTGGAGACCCAGGCCAAGCCATCCCCGGCCCAGGCTATCCTGGAAGAGTCTAGAAGCCCCTTGCCCCCGCTTACCAGGTTTTTGACCTGATGCTGGGTGCTGGCCTTGAAAGCCACAGTTGGCAGCTCATTCCGAAGGTAATCCAGCCACTTTTCTATCACCTCCTTGGGGACCAGGTCTGGGGGAAACAGGAACAGACAGAACAAGGAAGGAGAACATCACTTTGACAGCTCGCTCTGAGGATGCATCTACCCATCCCCAAGGCTAGGCCCACCTCCCGACAGATAGCTCCCCGGCCCTGCCAGTCCCCATACTCCCCAAGTGCAGTTAGAAAGGACACTGTATGCTAGGGGAGCAGCTGGCCCGCCCTCAGGGGACCTCTATTCCCTCAGGGAGAATGGGAAAACCAGCTCTTTGGTACCAGGTGCCATCTTCTAAGCCAAGGTGCCCAGGGTGCCAGAGGTCTCCCAAAGATTATGTTTCCATTCCTCTCTCTGGATCATTCTAATTTGGACCAAATGTCAAGAATAACGTGGATAGCCAAAACCGGTTTGGCTCAGTGGATAGAGCGTCGGTCTGTGGACTGGGAGGTCCCAGGTTCAATTCCGGTCAAGAGCATGTACATCGGTTGTAGGAGGCAGCTGGTCGATGTTTCTCTCTCATCGATGTTTAATAAAATGTATTTTTTTAAAAAGAATAACGTGGACAAACATGGCTACCATTTGTGAGGTACTGACCACACATATACCAAGCGCTTTGTTATTCATTCTCACAACAACCCTGGGAGTTGGGACAATCACAGCCCGTTTTAAAGCTAGAGGAACGGAAGCTCTTTTTTATTTATTTATTTTTTTAATATATTTTATTGATTTTGTACAGAAAGGAAGGGAGAGAGATAGAGAGTTAGAAACATCAATGAGAGAGTCATCAATCAGCTGCCTCTTGCACAGCCCCCACCGGGGATATGCCCGCAACCAAGGTACATGCCCCTGACCAGAATCGAACCCGGGACCTTTCAGTCCCCAAGCCGACGCTCTATCCATTGAGCCAAACCGGTTTCGGCAGGAACAGAAGCTCTTATTACTTGTCCAAGATCCCAGACAAAACAGCACAAATGAGATGAGAGCCAGACCCGAGTGACTCCTGAGTCCACGTGCTATTGTGCCCTAGTCTCTGGGTTCCAGCTTGGAGAAGACACTCTTCAGGGATGGCCAGTCGCAGATAAGGCTTAAAATAGCAAGAATGAACAAAACCGGTTTGGCTCGGTGGATAGAGCATCAGCCTGCGGACCGAAGGGTCTCGGGTTCGGTTCCGGTCAAGGGCACGAACCTTGGTTGCGGGCACATCCTGGTGGGGGGTGTGCAGGAGGCAGCTGATGGATGTTTCTCTCTCATCGATGTTTCTAACTATCCCTCTCCCTTCCTCTCTGTAAATAAATCAATAAAATTTATTTTTTTAAAAACACAAAACAATTTTAAAAAATAACAAGAATGGAGAAATCAAAGTGAGCCAGGCTTGCACACCATTTCCAGCTTCTGCTGGACAGTATGTCTTTAGACCAGGGGTGGGGAACCTTTTTTCTGCCAAGGACCATTTGGATATTTACAACATCATTCACGAAATTCTCAACTTCAAGACGAGCCTGCTGTATTTGGTCAAACATTTAATTAACTCCCCCCTAATGCCTTGACTGGGTCAGACCAAATGATTTCTCGGGCCTTCCATGGCCCGCGGGCCAGACGTTCCCCACCCCTGCTTTAGAGAAATGATTTCACCTCTCAGATTCCTGGCTAGAAAGACTGGAACAAGCATTCCTACGTTGCACAACTGTTAGGAATACCACTGAGTTGCTGCATCTCAGGATCTGGTCAGAGCTGGTCTTTCAAGAAAGAAGGCCTGCCCCCTGCCGTGCCTCACCCAATGCTTCTCAATACCCACCGATCTTGTTCAAGACCAGAACCAGCTTCTTGTTGCCCTGTGCCCGCAGGACAGTCTCCTCCATCTGGAAGCAGCGGCAGCCCAGCGGGTCCCTGGCATCCAGAACTTCCAGAATCACATCAGAGTATTCCACTACCTGCAGGGCAGAGGGCGACGGATAGAGGCAGGCAGAGGACTCGGCAGCAATCGCAGAGGCCCGTGAATGAGAAGGCCTCCACCTCAGTCAGGGAAAGCAGCAATGGCGAGGAGATGGGACTGGATTGGTACCCTCCCTAAAGGGCCTCAAGAGTCCCCATACCTTACGGAACTCCTTGTAATAGGCCTTCCTTGTGGCCTCATCATCCAGCTGAGGAAACATATTTAATTCCTGCAAAGCTTCCTCCTAAAGGAAAAAGAAAAAAGAATAGAATGGTCCATGGGAGGAGACAGAGCGAGAGATAGCCTGGGCATTGGAGACCATGGGAGTCCCAGCCACCAAAGCTGGGAAGTGGAAGAACAGACGGGCCCACATGGTATCTGTGTGCCTATGTTTATATGTGTGTTCTAGCACCAGACAGAGGCCTGAGGGTGCACATGGGTGTGTAAAAATTAGCCTGCTGTATTTAGTTAAACATTTAAGTAACTCACCCCTAATGCCTTGGCAGGGCCAGACCAAATGATTTCGCGGGCCTTTTATGGCCCGCGGGCCAGACGTTCCCCACCCCTGCCTTAGTCCTCCCAACCCCCTTCCCTGTCTTTGAGTTCTAGCTTGGGAGAAAGGATCTATCCAGGGCTGTCCAGTCACACACAAGGCTCAAAATGGCTCTTTACCTCCCTCTGTCCTCGCTGTTTTCCCATCCTTTCTCCATGGATTGTCTACTTCCCTCCCAACCAAACTGCTCTCTTACCTTGGACTCAAACTCCTCCTGGCGTCGCTGGACATCCTGACAGTAGCTCTCCATGGTCCTGCGTCTGTGTTTCTCTTGCTCCCGGGCAGCCTGCTGCTTCTCCCTCATCTCCTCAATCTAACAAGGGAACACACACCAGGACCACAGCTGACTAGGTCTGCAGCCTGAGGGAGGGACGGGAGACGGAGAGGAACAGGGAACAGGTGACAGCGGGAGGAGACAGTGTGGCGTGGCAGAGGTGAAAGGAGCAAGGATACAGGGAAAGCAGATATTACAGCAGGATATGAGGGGTGTGAGAGAAAGAAAAAAACAGAGCACTGCAGGAAGGGAAAGCAAAGCAGAGAACAATAAAAGAAGGACAAAGGGGCCCAGCCAGTGTGGTTCAGTAGTTGACCATCAACCTGTGAACCCGGAGGTCACAGTTCATACCAGGTCAGGGCAATGCCCAGGTTGTGGGCTGGATCCCCAGTGTGGGGCGTGCAGGAGGCAGCCGATCAATGATTCTCTCTCATCATTGATGTTTCTCTCTCTCTCTCTCTCTCTCTCTCCCCCCCCCTTCCTCTCTGAAATCAATAAATATACACTGAGTGGCCAGATTATTATGATCTCTGAACACATAATAATCTGGCCACTCAGTACATATCCTCTATAATAAAAAAACTAATATACAAATTGGCCCCTTGACCAGGAGTTTGACCAGCAGGCAGGCCAGCCAACCGCCCATGTTCCCTCCCCCTGGCCAGGCTGGCCGGACCCCACCCATGCACAAATTCATGCACCGGGCCTTTAACATACATAGCGTTCAGAGATCATAATAATCTGACCACTCAGTGTATAAGGGCATGGGAAGCTGAGAGAGAATGTGTTCCTGGTAAAGGAAAATCCTTAAGACTTAAGAACAGAGGCAGAAGGGACAACGTTGTGGGATGCCCGCCCCCCCCCCCCCCCCCCATTTAGAGAGCAGGGAGACACTGGCAGAGGAAGGAGGACATCTAGGAGAGTAAGATGACAAAAAAGTCAAAGTGAGAGTATTTTAAGAAAAGCGGATCTCAAATGCAGAGCATTCAGATCAAATTAGATGAAAACACTCCGTCAGAGATCTAACCAGTTTGGCTCAGTGGATAGAGCGTCAACCTGCGGACTGAAGGGTCCCAGGTTCGATTCTGGTCAAGAGCATGTACCTTGGTTGCGGGCACATCCCCGGGGGGGGGGGGTGCAGGAGGCAGCTGATTGATGATTCTCACTCATTGATGTTTCTAACTCTCTATCCCTCTCTGTAAAAAAGCAGTAATATATATATTTTTTATATATATATATATATATATTTTTTTTTTTTTTTTTTTTTTTTTTTAAAGCTCTCCATTAGAGAATGCACTGGTGAGGCTGGTAAAGATTTCAGTGGAGCCGTGCGTGAGAACACAAGCCAGACAGCAATGGATGGGAGGTGAGCAAATGGAGACACTAAGTCAACTATCAAAGCAACACCCTCCCTTCCGCCTTCCATAACAGCCTCTACACCCCTAACCATTCTGGCCTTGACCTGCCATTCACCACTCTGGGGACCTGGCAGTCCAGGCAAGCCCTCTCCCCCCCGTGGCACAGGGCGTACCCTCTTCTTCTTTAATTCAGCCTCCCGGTTGGCATGATCATTGGAGTGAACAAGCTGGGGAGTGGAGACCAACTTGAAGGCTGCCTTCTTCCCATTCTGCTTCGCAGGACGAGAGGGGGAAAAATCAAACAGACCTAATGAGCCCATGGAAACCACCCTGCAGGGAGGGGTTAGAGCTTCTTAAAAGTCTTGTTGCCGCCAAAACCGGTTTAGCTCAGTGGATAGAGCATCGGCCTGCAGACTGAAGGGTCCCGGGTTCGATTCCTGTCAAGGGCATGTACCTTGGTTGCGGGCACATCCCCAGTAGGGGGTGTGCAGGAGGCAGCTGGTCGATGTTTCTCTCTCATCGATGTTTCTAACTCTCTATCCCTCTCCCTTCCTCTCTGTAAAAAAAAATCAATAAAATATATATATTTTTTAAAAGAACAGAGGGAGCCGAGACCGGTTTGGCTTAATGGATAGAGCGTCGGCTTGGGGACTGAAGGGACCCAGGTTCGATTCCGGTCAAGGGCACGTACCTTGGTTGCGGGCATATCCCCAGTAGGGGGTGTGCAAGAGGCAGCTGATCGATGACTCTCTCTCATCGATGTTTCTAACTCTCTATCTCTCTCCCTTCCTCTCTGTACAAAATCAATAAAATCTAATAAAAAAAATTAAAAGAACAGAGGGAGAAGAGGACAAAGTCATGGGAGTCTGATGTGTTACTCTGTCTAGAGCCACCCCCCATCTCTACTGGGTTTATGGGCTTCTTCTAGGGCAGGTAATCCGTTCCCACCCTTATCCCAACAGTGGGCAATCTTACCTGAGGGTTGGATCAACTTACCTTCTTACAGCCTTTGGAACCTTTACCTGGCTTTTTATTTTCTACAAAAAAAAAAAAAAAAAAAAAAAAAAAAAAGCAGCAGCAGCATTACTCACCTACACATTTTTTGAAACCTTAATTAAGGTCCAGCCGCACTGAGGCCTAAGGACACCTCTGACACCATGCCTGTCTAGGCCTGTTGTCAGCAAACCGCGCTCACAAGCCACATGCGGCTCTTTGGCCCCTTGAGTGTGGCTCTTCCACAAAATACCACGGCCTGGGCGAGTCTATTGATATTTTGAAGAAGTGGCGTTAGAAGTTTAAGTTTAAAAACTTTGGCTCTCACCCTAACCGGTGTGGTTCAGTGGATAGAGCGTCGGCCTGCGGTCTGAAGGGTCCCAGGTTTGATTCCGGTCAAGGGCATGTACCTTGGTTGCGGGCACATCCCCAGTAGGGGGTGTGCAGGAGGCAGCTGATCGATGTTTCTCTCTCATTGATGTTTCTAACTCTCGCTCTCCCTTCCTCTCTGTAAAAAAAAAAAAAAAAAAAATCAATATTTTTGTAAATAATAAAATAAAAGTAAAAAATTTAGCTCTCAAAAGAAATTTCCATCGCTGTACTGTTGATATTTGGTTCTGTTGACTAATGAGTTTGCCGACCACTGGTCTATAGGCCCAGAATAAGACGGACAGGGAGATGGCATCAACATTGTTAGAAAAACTACTGAATATAATGTCAGGGCATCATTCAATGCAAACTGAAACAATTGTTACGGAATACTGTAAAGAGAGTGCGCTGAATATCTCCTTGTAACTCCTCTCTCTCCCCCAACTTCTGGCAGGAGGAAACTCAACAAATGTTTTTTTTAGTTAATCCTCACCTGAGGATACTTTTCCATTGATTTTTTTAAAGAGAGTAGAAGAGAGAGATGCCAAAACTGGTTTGGCTCAGTGGATAGAGCGTCGGCCTGCGAACTGAAAGGTCCCAGGTTCAATTCCAGTCAAGGGCACATCCCCTGGGGGGGGGGGGGGTTTGCAAGAGGCAGCTGATCGATGTTTTTCTCTCATTGATGTTTCTATTTCTCTAACTCTCCCTTCCTCTCTGTTAAAAAAAACACACACACACACAATAAAATATATTAGAGAGAGAGAGAGAGAGAGGAAAAAATCATCAATGTGAGAGATACATCGATTAGTTGCCTCCCACACATGCTTCGACCGGGGCCAGGGACCCACCCTGCAATGGTGGTACATGCCCTTGACCGGAATTGAACCCGGGACCCTTCAGTCTGCCTGCCAATGCTCTAAAAGCTTGGATACACGGAGGAGAGAGCTCGCCTGCCTCAATCCCGCCTTTACCAAGCCCAGGGGTTTAAGAGGCCTCTCCACAGTGGATGGGAAGTCCCACCTGTCATCCCATCCCCAGCTGAGCTCTTAGGGCAGAATGACTGTCCTTAATCCTCACCACCTGCAGGAGGGCTAACGGGATTCTGAGAGGGGGTGATTCTGGAAGTTCAGGGCACACATATAGGTGCAGCTTGAGATTACCACCACAGGCACCCCCATCCCAAGCGGTTTGCACTGAAGCAGTTCATGTAGAAAACAAGAGAATTTTTTTAAAAATGAATTTGTATGGATTTCTGAGAGGAAGGGAGAGAAAAATGGATTGAAACATCAATGATAAGAGAGAACCATGGACCGGCTGCCTCCTGCACCCCACTGGGATCGAGGCTGCAAACCCAAGCATGTGTCCTTGACGGGAATCGAACCTGGGACCCTTCAGTCCGCAGGCCGATGCCCTATCCACTGAGCCAAACCAGCTAGGGTGGAAACAAGAGGATTTAAACACTACAGGAGTCCTCCCCTTATCCGCAGTATTTGTTCCAAGACTCTCTGTGGAGGCCTGTAACCACTAATAGAATCAAGCTCTTTATATACTATGTTTTGTCCTTTACATGCATACCTTTCCACTTAAAGGAAACATTTTGGGGGTTATTATTAAGTAAAATAACGGTTACTGAAACACAAGCATTGTGATACCAGGACAGTGGATTCAATTCCTTGTCAAGCCACAAGGTTCAATCCCCAGCAGGGGGCGCGCTGAAGGCATCTGATCCTATGTTTCTCATCGATGTTTCTATGTATCCTCTCCTTAAATGCGGTATTTCCTAATGAAAAAATCCACCCGTTTTATAAAAATAACAGATACAAGGTTCCTTTCATTGAAAACAGGTTTGAGGTTTCAGATTAGAAAGGCTCAAGTAAGAGCCAAGATTAACACAAAAGATATCCTGGGCAGATCCTGGTGAAATTTCTCAACTCCAAGGGTAAAGAGAAAAATCTGATAAGCTTCCAACAAAGACCAGAGCGGTGGACAGCCTGCTCAAATCTACAACGCTGGACACTGAAGACAGGAGGATAACCATTACAAGTTATAGATTACTCTGAAGTTTGTTTGTGTTTTTTTAAGAAAATAGATGTGTGGAGATTACCACTTCTATTTCCTTTCGTTTTTAAAATTATTATTATTTTTTTATTTTAGAGAGAGAAAGTAGGGGTGGGGAAAAGGGGATGGAGGGGGGAGAGAGAGAGGGGGAAAGGAGAGGAGGACGAAAGATTGATTTGTTGTTTCTCTTACTTCTGCATTCATTGCTTCTTTTTTCTTATATATTTTATTGACTTTTTACAGAGAGGAAGGGAGAGGGACAGAGAGTCAGAAACATCGATGAGAGAGAAACATCGACCAGCTGCCTCCTGCACACTCCCCATTGGGGATGTGCCCACAACCAAGGTACATGCCCTTGACCAGAATCGAACCTGGGACCTTTCAGTCCGCAGGCCGACGCTCTATCCACTGAGCCAAACCAGTTTCGGCATCATTGCTTGATTCTTGTAAGGCTCCTTGACTGGGGATCAAACTTTGGCATACTGGGACAGCGCTCCCAAGTGAGCTATGTGGATAGGGAACCACCTCCAGTCCCTTTCTGGTAAACCTATCTGAGCAAGTACACCAGCTACAAATTTAATCAGAATAGAGATATCAAGCGGCCCTGGCTGGTGCTCAGTGGGTAGAGCATCAGCCCGAGGACTGAAGAGTCTTGGGTTTGACTCAAGGTCAAGGGCACGTCCCTCGGTCGCAGATTCAACCCCAGGCCCCAGTCAGAGTGCAAGCGGGAGGCAACCAGTTGATGTGTCTCTCACAGATGTTTCTCTCTCTCCCTCTTCTCTCCCCTCCCTTCCACTCTCTAAAAATCAATGGAAAAAATATCCTCTCCTCAGGTGAGGAGTAAAAACACACGCACACACAAAGACCTCACGCTAATGGAAACACATAATGGTGGGCAGTCCCCCCTTAGATGCAAGATATCCGTCAAGCCATTAAATCTCTTTAAAAAATGCTAGCAATGTAGCTAAGAACTATGATACATATTACGAAAGGATTTTTTAAAATCCAGGAAGCATACCATAAGAAAACAGCTCAGAACTAAAATACCAAATTATTACAACAAAATCCAGTAATCAAGCAACAGGGGCTGGAAAAACCAAACCACTAACGCAAGCTAACGGCACACTTTGAAAGAGTCAGATACACAGAGTCATTATTTAACTTTGGCAAAACGATAGAGAATTTTGAGTTTAATTACGTTTGCCATCAATAGAAATGCAACTACCAACATAACTTTAATTACTGGTGGAGGACTTTTTTTTTTTTTTTAGACTTGATCTATTTTTTCCAAGAAGGGAATAAGAAGAACCTAAACAGAAAACATAGAAGACGGTAGAAATTAAGACTGAGCATATTAGTTCTCATAATGAATGGGAATGGGTCGAACTTCCCAGTAACAAAACAAGACAAAAAATAAACAAAAAGCAGACCCCTGCGTCTCCTTTCCTTCCCAAGCCCTCGTGTCGCAATGCAAAGAATGTGAGGTCTGGAATGAGCAGGTCTGGCCATTTTACTCAACAATTTCCATCTGCCTCCCTTCCCTGGAAACAGAGCCTGCACTGGAGACAGGCACACACTGAAAGAAAATACAGCACGTAGAGGGGAAAAACATCTGCTTCGGGAGAGGGGGGAGAGAGCGGGGAAGCAGAGACTGGGGTAGGGGGCAGCCATCACTGCCATGCCCAGGAGTCACCGTTACTCCGTGTGGGGTTCTTTTTTAAGGGCCTGAGAGAGAAAACAGCTCCCATTTTGCTGCCAGCCGCACGTAGTTGCCTATTCTGGCTCCACGGTTGCCTAGCCTCGTGGTCGGCAAGGTGCAGCTCGTGAGCCACATGCGGCTCTTTGGCCCCTTGAGGGTGGCTCTTCCACAAAAGACCACGGCCTGGGCGAGTCTATGTTGAAGAAATGGCGTTAGAAGATGTTTAAGTTTAAAAAATGTGGCTCTCCAAAGAAATTGCAATCGTTGTACTGTTGATATTTGGCTCTGTGGACTAATGAGTTTGCCGACTACTCCTAGCTATACCGTATGACCTTGAAGAATTTTCTCAAATTTCTCTGGGCCTCGCCCTAGCTGGGTTAGCTCAGTGGATAGAGCTTCGGCCTGTGGACTGAAGGGTCCCAGGTTTGATTCCGGCCAAGGGCACATTTCTGAGTTGTGGACTTAATCCCCAGTAGGGGATGTGCTTGAGGCAATGGATCAAAACTCTCTCTCATCAATGATCTCTCTCTCTGTCTCTCTTCCTTCCTCTCTGAAATCAATAAAGAAATATATATTAAAAAATCTGAGCCTCAATGACTCCACTCACCAGCTGTGACATCAATCAATATTCAAAGGCAGAGCTCTCCGTTCACCCATCAGCTCCCATACGCTCACCCTGTTCTATCCCTGGACACCCAGCCTGGCACCAACTCCACCACCATCCTCCCTCTGCCTCTGCTTAAAATCTCCCACAATGCCCTCTGAAGCTCCCACTGGGAGCTCACCCCTAATTCTTCCATCTCTCCTCGGGACAATTCCCAAACCTCTGGCCTCAGGGGCGACACCTTTGAGGACACTGCCTCACCCGGACGCCTCTGGAAAGGCGGCTGTCGTTTTCTCAGGCACTTGAATGAATAC